TCACATCAATGCTGCCCACACGGTGGGGTCTCCTGAACCCATCTGGCTTGTGTTTTCACTTTCCAGTGACTGGTTTTCAGTGGATTCCATGACATTAGGCTCACTCGTTTGACCAAATTTACACTTAAAATTTCAGCCTTGGTTCTGCAGCCCTTCCAGCATCCCACCCATACCCAAGCCAGAAATCCATGTCATTCTGGGGAGCAGAAGTTGTGAGGAGGTTAGAGTAGCCAGTTTGGTGGCCTGATCCACACGCCCTCAGTTTTACAGTGAGGATGCTGGGTGCTACCTATGTCATCAATGGAGCATGCACTTTAATGACCTTAGCTTTCTCTGGCCATGGTGACAGCGGTGCTGAGAGGCTACTGGTAACAACTCCCACTCCAGCCCAGGTCCCCTTCATGTTTTGTTTGTGTTGCTGTTTTCATCTTAAGATAGGTCTCACTATGTAGCCCTAACTGTTCTGGAACTTACTATGTTGACCAGGCTGGTCTTGAACTCATGGAGATCACCTGCCTCTGCCTTGGATTGCTGGGGTTAAAGCCGTGCGGCAGCATGCCGACCTCCCTTGGTGTTAAGGGGACTCTCATCAGATCTTCTGTTAACAGTTCACAGCATGTCCATCGTTAGCCTCGTGCAGCTGTTGAGTTTCTGAGTTGGAGCTGTGACAGGTCACTCACCCCCAGGGATGGATGTGGGGTCTGTGTGGGCATCTCTGTGACCACCTTGTCTGTGCGGTCCTGCAGATCCCTGCTCTGGGGAGTGATGCCATATAAGCTGTGGCCTTCCTGTGCTGGCTTCCCTCCTTCCACTAAGGTCCAGACTGTGTCTGACACTGATACTAAAACTCAGCCCCTGGCTCATGGCATGGGTATAGCCTTCTATACCTCAACCTCTACTGGGTGTGGCTATTCGGAGGCAGTAGTGATAATAGCAGTGGCCACATCAGGCCCACTGTATTTCAGACACATTAATAGTATGGGGCCATTATTAATACAAACAAATACTGCTACCTTGTTATTTAAGCCTTGCCTCAGGCATGTCTGGTAGATACTTTTGTCCCCATTGTACAGTTCTGGAAACTGAGGTATATGGAGAAGGGTATATATAGCCTCTAGTGTGGTATAACCACACTCAAAGTTGTGGTTGTAGGCATCTTTGAGCCAGGAAGGATGCATTCTCAACTAGGGGCATTCTCACGGTATATTAAAGGAGACATGTTGCCATGGTAGTTGTTAATGACAAAATGAGAACATGGTAGACCCCAGGGAAGCAAGACCCAGGCTCTAGGAGCTGGGGACAGGGTGCCTGTCTCTCACTGGCCAGCCTGTATACTCTCACCCTTTGTGACCCTGAGATAGCCTGATACGTGGATACATTCTTTACCTCTTCAACCGACCATTAGGTACCAAGGCATGGGAGGGGTGAGGGAACCCAGGTTCCTCCCATTTTTCCCTGCAGAGACTGGCAACTGTATACACATGAACATATGTGCGTGTGCGTGTGTGTGTGTGTGTGTGTGTGTGTGTGTGTGTGTGTGTGCGCGCGCGCGCGCGCGCGCGCGTGCGCGCGCACATGGGGGGAGAGGGACAGGTAAGGAAAGGGACAGCAGGGCTGTGCTGGTCCTGTCACCCCTGAGACCCTGACCTGAGTACATTTCTGGAACACAGTAGATGGATACGGTGAAGGGAGGCCCGTCAACTGTCTTCTTATTAGACTGTGGGATGTACAGGCTCCAGGAGGGGAGGGAAGACTTGGGGATGAGGGGGAAGTTAGATACAGCAGAGCGCACTGGGATGCAGGCAGGCATGTGGTCCCTTGCCTCTTTATTAGAATGAAGTTAGGCTTCTGAGTGTAGCACTGCCCATCCTGCTGGAAGTTGTTTGGGGCCAGGGGTGTCTGAAATGGGTGGGTGTCCTATTGGCTGCTAGCTTTTCCTCCTTGCTGAATCCTGGGGGCAGTGCTAAGGAGATGGTCACTCCGTGGGGACCTTGCAGCCTGAGGAGAGAACACGGTGGCATGATTCACGGTGGTCTGTGGCTTCTCTGCTGGGATGCACAGGGCTGCTGTCAAAGTCACCTCACTGCACCTTCTGCTGGGTCAATTCTTCCGGCACACTGTAGCACTAGTCCCAAAGGCCCCTCAGGGCAGCACCTGAAGAGCTGGGACCTTGGGGAGTTTGGTGGCTGGAGGCAGGGGGGTGTTGTGGACAGAGTGGCTGCAGTGGAACGGGCCCCTCCAGGCCCAGCCACCAGCATGTTTGGGTTTTTGAGGGCCTTTGGGTGGGTACAATGGCAGGCATTTTGTACATTTTTTTTTTTAAATCCTGTGGACTTAAAAGTGCCTTGTGATCCCCATTTTACTGCTAAAGAGGAACTGGAGTTTTGGAAGGCCAGAGAACAGTGGATTCAGAACAGTCCATAGAAGAGTGTGTTCTTAACATCGAATTACTCCACGTTCCCCACGCCTGAGCTTTGAGGCTACTGCTTGTTGGGGTACTTTAGTACTTTGGAGGGGCCCAGGGCACTAAGCTGTGGGGCCCTAGGGACTAGGACTTTTATTGACTTTTCTGGTAGGCTTAGCCTCAGGGCTTTGTCCTGGAGGCCTGAACAAACACAGGTGTTGTTTTGGCTCCTGCAGCTTCCCCAGGAAATGGGGCCAGCTGCTTTCTCCACCACTTAGCCTTTCACAAGCTCTGTCCTCTTACAACAGCCTCTTCCTCCCTCGGCTCCTCCCTGCCTGCCTTGAAGACCAGGTTAATAAACAGGGAGAACTCTCAACCCTCTGCTGGGCAACTCGCACCAGGAACTTCAGCTTCCAGTTGCCGGCACTAGTCAGTTTCCCTCCAGGCCTTAGGAGGGTTGAAGGGACTGAAAGTTGGAGGGTGGGCTTAAGAACAAGGTTGGGAGATAGGAGATAGGAGATGATACTTTATCATGGTGTAAGACACTCCCTGGCCACAGTGAATGTGCAGTGTGGTGGCTCTGGGCCAAAGTATGGACAGGTGACAGATGGGAGAGATTGTGTAGAACCAGAGTAATTGTGCTTACTCTGAAGGTTTAAACGTGCTTTGCAGTATTTTTTATGCCAACAAAAGAAGCCATAAAAAAATGAAAATAAAAGCTAAGGAGTACACCACCCCCTGCCAGTGCATACTACTGTCTGTCAGCCCTTTCTCCTGAGCTGTCCTCTGAGGCCAGAGGGTCTCTAAGCATCAGAGAGGATGGCAATTCACCCACTCACCGTCCTGACTACTTAGTGTCACACATAGGCTCTGTCGGCTCTTTCAGATCCCTGAGCTTTGCATCAGGCTATCTTGAGTGCCTGGCTTCTCCAGGGCCTGGACTTTTGCTGTTTTTGTTTGTTTGTTTTTCCCCCAGTGCTGTAGCTCTGATTCTGACCATTGGCACCCTAGGATAGATACACAGGTGACCTTCAGGTGCTGCCAGTCTTGGGTATTGGGCTGACTGGTGGCTGTCATGTTGCCGGGTCCAAGCAATGGTAGAACATGGTGTTGCAGACTCTGTGCCCAACCTAGACATATTTCCTGGAGATGGTGACATCCATACCCAGTCCTAAAAGGCTAAGGCAGATGTACCTTAGCCAAGGAAGGTACAAAGGACAGAACAGACCGAGGAATGGTTTATTTTTTTCCTTCGCTCACCCTGATCTGATGTAGTTTCCCCCAATGATTTGGTATGGCACATACCCCGTTTCCATGTCATGGTGGTGGGTGTTTGCAGGGGAGAGAGGGTCCTGACTTGGTGAGTTGCTAGTGAGGTCTGAGAACTGAATCCCAGAGCTCTTCCAGCACTGCCCTTCTGACCTCTCCCATCTCTCCCTCTCCCTCTCCCTTCTTGCTGTCACAGGCTCTTCAACTTTGTTTCGTCAATCCAGACAGGCAAGTTTTGTTTCCCCTAATAACAATGAGCTTGGTGTTTTCTCTGCCCACTTGTTGCCTGCCCACTTTGGAGATTCCCAAAGCAAGGAGGGTAGGACATGAGGACCTTCCAAGCTACTCATCCGTGGGGCTTTCAGGGTGGGAAGAGCAGTGTGACCCTGCAGTGAGGTGAACAGGACCACACTCTTGAGCCTTGGGTAGTCAGTGGTGTCATGGGTGAGATTTGACTAAGTTTTGAATGGTTGTGAGAAACTGAAAGGCACGAATCTGTTCCCCATTGTCTCTGGAGTCAGCCCATTCCATGTCTGTTGGTTGGTGACCTGCCCATGGTTGGTGACCCAGTTGTCCCCAACGCCATCTCAGAGAAGTAGCTACAAAGTTGATGGTCTTTGCATCAACGTCTTCCCATCCCCCATCTGAATTCTTCTCCATGGTTTTATAGCTGAAGGTGCTCCATCCGCCCTCACCCAGATACCCACGTACACATGCTGGGGGACTTCCCTTCCTCCTTATCCTGACACCACGCCTCCGAACTCTGTCCCAAACAAAAAGTTATCTTTTCTCCCCGGTTGTCTATCAAATGGGAAAGGATTTTATAACGTAACTTAGTCAGAGGTGCCAGCGGGTTTTGACTTTACTCTTAAAACTATAACTGCCAAAGTGAATTTCTCTTACAGGGTGATTGCTAAGGATGAGGATGTAACACTTCTAGGTGTGGGTAGCAATGACGCTTTTGAGGAGGGCTAGGAAGAGGGAGGTGCTGCTTCATTCCCATTACCCCACCCCCCACCCATAGGCCCCAAAGGTTGCCTCGCTTGCATTTATGTGAGGAGCCCCCTGATTGGTTGATGTGACTATGGAACAACCATGTTGAGAGTTTCTATGGATTCTGCTGAGTAGGTGGCCCTCCTCCATGGTCCCTTCATGAGGCTTGTAAAGTAAGGTGTCACAAGCCTGCTGAGGAGAGGACTTTACCAGAACAACTGGAAAGAAGATGTGGGGTGGGGGCCTGGGAGCCATTGAGGCCTGTGGTGAGGGCCTCAGAGACCTTATGGCTCTCGAGGAGACTAACCACCCCCTTTTCTTCCCTTCATATTAGACGTTCACGGCCTGGTGCAACTCTCACCTGCGGAAGGCAGGGACACAGATCGAGAACATTGAGGAGGACTTCCGAGATGGCCTGAAGCTCATGCTGCTCCTGGAGGTTATCTCAGGTATGCTGGCCCTGGCCCAAGACAGGTCCCCCTGGGTTCTGTCCTAACATTTGGTTGCATTCTGTCCATGTTCATAGTTGGTCTCCGTGGCCACCAGGTGAGCACATGGTGTATTTACATACATGCAGGCAAAACACAGATATAATTAACAAAAAATAAATACAAGAAGCATCACTCAAGATGTCATGTCATGTATCCTATTTCCGTGGAGGGATTACCCTGATGACCTTATTCGGCCCTGCCTTTTAGAAGTTTTACCGCTTAGAATATCACCATGCTGGAGCCAAGCTTCCAGAACCTGAACCACTAGGGAACAAACCATAGCATTGTGCATGGCCACTTGGGTGCTCAAAGCAGTAGCTGGCCCTCTGTTCTTGCTTCAGACTTCATCTTGTCATGCTAAACCTAACCTGGAACCACAGACTGCTCTGCCTCTGCCCTGCTTTCCAACTTGACATTCGCCTTCTTTGTGTTCCTTTCTTTCACGATTCCCCTTTTAACCTTTTGTGTTGTGGGCCTCTGGTGACTCCCACCTAGAGGAAACCACGAAAGCCTTAGGTTTAGTCTCCACCCCTTCCCCTCCTCTCTGCCGCCCAGCACTCTGACAGCCCAAATATGGTCACGCTGTTCCCTGCTCAGAAGGGCTTTTGTGCCTCCCCTGAGTCCACATTCCTTTGCAGAGCCCTGAGGATCATTTGGGAGCTGGCACCTGCTTTGCTTCCAACTAACTATTCCCAAAAAGGTAGCAGACCTCAGGCCATCTGCCACTCTGGGAGGCTCTCACATCTCCCCAGACGACGTGTCCTGTTCCTTGTGCTTTTGCGTGACTTCTGACAGGCTGGCTTCTTTAAAAACAGCTTTTCACATTTCCTTTAAAGTGAAACCTGGGCAGGGCGAAATATATACAGCGGGACACCTAGCCATTTTAGCCTTTTGGGGGATGGGGGCTACTTATTTTTGGCTCATGGTTCCACAAGTGTCAGCCCACCGTGGCAGGGAGCATGTGGGAGAGCCGATCAGTGGGCATCATGGCAGCAAGAGGCCAGAGCGGTTTCCCAATGATGTACTTCCTCCAAAAGCCCCACATAGTGCTTTTCACCACCTTTTAATAATGCTGTCGTATTATGACCCTGTCGGGGCATTAATCAGCCGACTAGGTCACACCCCTAACGATCTGAGAACACCCAGGCCTGTACTTGACTAATCTTGGCATCTCTTAATCCATTCAAGTCAACTCATCACATCACGTTAAACCCTGACATTCCACCCCTGGACCCCAAAAGTCTACATTCAGTCTAACTCCACAAGTCCTCATGATGTTAATAAAATTCCAGTGTTGTTCAGAAGTCCCTACTGAAATTCTAGACAGTCTCTTAGTTCTGAACCCCTGCAATAAATAAAGAAATCACTCAAATCGCATGCCACTAACGTACATTGACGCAAATGGGAGGACTCAGGTCATAGAAAGGGAGGGTAGTGCCAAAATAAGACAGAATCTCAGAAGAGTGAAGATTATAGCCACGTCCAGTGTTGGGGAGGCATGGTGGTGTGATGTGAGCTTCCGTGGGCTTGGGTAGCCTGCCCGCCCGCCCTCCCGCCCTCTCTCCCTCCCTCCCTCTGTCTGTTCTCTTTTCTTTCTTTCCTCCCTTCCTACTTCTCACTTTTACAGCATTCTATTGCAGTATCTCTTGATTAAATTTTATTCCCTGTTTTCCAGGAGTATTTATTCTCATCCATATTTTTGAAAGAGTCATTTGATAATATCTTGCTATATGGGTTTTCTGCTTGCATCCACTGCCCAAGGCTTTCATTAGCAGACATTCCACATTCTCACATCCTCAAGGGGTTTCCATTGCAGCTTAGGCTTCACCCCCACAGAGCTCTTTGTAGGTAATTCAACCGTGCCATACACTTCCTAGCCTCTCAGGCCTTTTCTGCATGCCTGCAAAACCAACATCATATGGAAGAAGCCAAGGCTTCTTTGGCTGTCGTGTCCATGTCGTTCGTTCGTTCGTTCGTTCGTGTGTGTGTGTGTGTGTGTGTGTGTGTCTGTCTGCTCCTGGTCTATCCATTCCCCCCACATTGCAGTGTCCTCTGGGTGCCTGAGAATCTAGGAATGCTTCCTTAGACAGGCTCTCTCTTCTGAAAGGAAAACTTTTTCCCCCTGTGACTTTTGTATTATTATTAATTTTAAGTTGCCATGCAAAGTAATAGGTTTCATTGTATAGCACTCTGTTCTAATTCTTCCTCCTTCCTCACTACCCTCCCCTGAAGGGAAAGTCTTTCAAAAAATTTTATAGTTTTATATTATGGAGCCTGTGGTAGATGGGGTTTGGCCAGTTCCTGAGGTGTCAAAGGCATCCTTATTGTCAAGGCATTTTCCCCTTGACACAGTGTAAAGTGCTTGTTGTTGTTGTTTTGTTTTGTTTCTTAAAGAGAATAAGAGATACTTTATTATGGAGCTGTTTGGAGGGACCATGGCCCAGAAACACAAATTTAGGTTACCCTAAATTCCATGTTACAGTGTTGAAGCAGTTTCCTGATGTTTTTATAGTTTTACAGAACAAAGAAAATCATAAATCAAGGCAAGTTTAAAATACATTGATGAGAGAGTTAAATAAGATGGGGGAGGCTTTTTCTGTAGGCCCAAGATGCTATCTGATGACATTCTACGCCTTTGTATGGACAGAAGCAAGTAGTCTGCTAAGTCAACAGAATCCAAAAAATTTCTGTTAGTCACAAGTGGTTAGTTCTGACACAGAGGAAAGAGGACTAGCTGGGAAGGCCATTAAGAAAGAAACTCCTGGATCATATCAGTGCTGTCTTGGCTACATTTTAATGTCGCTGATCATTAGCAACCACACCCTTTCTGTCCACAACTTTTAGTTTGCTCTTTTGGGGGTGAGGCTTCAGATTTTTCAGATCTTTCCATTTGGCTCCTGGTCCTTAATTCTTTTTGTAAACGTTGCTAAGAGCACCTGTCCGTAACTATGCCCCAGCTTCAATGTGATGCTGTCTTGAGATTTCTTTACCCCATGAATTTGTCCATCCCTTTTAAACTCAGCTTCCCACAGAGCTCCAGGACATCAACTACATTTAATACAAGTTCTAATAGGTCCTAATAATAAAATCCTGGAGTCAGATATAGAGGAAAACGCTGAGAGATGGGAGAGGAGAAGGAGCAAGCCAAAGCCACCTTTGCCTCACTATCCTCCCAGCAGAAAAGAGACCAAGTTCCTGTTTCCTCCAACCGGTATTCCTTTCTCCGCTCAGCCATCTCACTTCCTGTCTCTCTGTACAGACCTCCAGACCTCTATGAATAGATAGTAGCAAGCTCCACCTTCTGATCTTCAGACACTCTTTATTTGTACAAGCAAGATATCACCACAGCCAGAATGTTACATGAATACCTCTAGTCCATTGTGTGCCTTGCACCCGTCTGAAGCCTCCTGAGTTCAGTCTTGACTGGCTTTGTTTCTGTTGGTACTCTGGTCTTCTGAATTCCCACCAGACACACTCATTAAGCTTCGTTTATAGCATTCTCAGGCTCTAGTCCATATCCTCTGATTCTTCCATCTTGCTTCCATGCATTTATTTAAAATGTTGCTTAGGAGGTGTAAGCACGTTATAGCAAGAAGGATATGGTATTTGCTCATTGTTTATGTTTATTTGCTTTTTAATTTAAGACCTGTCCTTTCCTACTGGACTACATTACATAAAAGGAAACAAACTTCTTTACTCTCATATGCCCAGCACCTCAGATTCTGGCATCTAGGGAACATAATAAATAAATGTTGAGGCTAGAGAGACTGAAGCTTTCTGCTCTTCCAGAGGACCTGGGTTTGTTAGCAAATAGCCACAGCTGGTGGCTCACAGTTGTCTATAACTCTAGCTCCAGGGGATCCAGTGCCCTCTTCTGGTCTCCTCAGGTACCTGCACATAGGTCACACACACACACACACAAATTTTTAAAAAGTATTTTTAAAACAAAGATACAAATTTCGAGCTAATGCATGCAGGTTTGTCTCTGAGAAGTAGGAGAATGAGAATCAACTTCTCTTTGATTCCCAGGTGATACCTCCGAACATCTGAGAGGCAAATTATGCTTGTGCCCATTTAAGAAGTGCTTTGGATGAGGGGTGCCAGGGTGGCCCTGGTTCCTGGACAGTTGCACCTCACCTTCATTTTCCTCCCTCTTGATCAGGTGAACGCTTGGCCAAGCCAGAGAGAGGCAAGATGCGAGTGCACAAGATCTCCAACGTCAACAAGGCCCTGGATTTCATAGCCAGCAAAGGAGTCAAGCTGGTGTCCATCGGGGCCGAAGGTGAGGCGTGATACCCCGTGATCAGCGTTTGCTTGGTCCTTTCTGCTCTGACTCCTGTAATGACAGTGCTGTCCTAGGGCCACACCAGGACTTGCCCCTTTCCCATTATTTCACTGTAGTCCTTATGGTGTGCAGTTGTACCTGCAGTGCTGATAACTCAGCTACCCTCCCTGCAGGGGTGCTGTGTGGGGGGGGCAGTGTAGACTGATTTGTGGCTGACAGGGCCTTGGGGAGACACTGCAGTTCTCCAAGAAGCATTCTTCGTAGCGTCATCATCTTCCTGGTTCTTTTGCCATCACTTCAAGACTTCTTTTTTTTATTTCTTTTTTTGAACAAAAAGCCATTGAAGCCATTGGTGTCATACTCTTCACATTTAGAATATAGCAGGGCTTCTGGTGTATGTTGTGCTGGCTTGAAGGAACAGCTAGAATATTCTAACCGGGCCCTCTGATGCCATAACCTATGAACATAGCATGTGTTCATTGGGGACCTGCAGTGGGATGCCAGGGATTGAAAGACACCATCAAGACACAGCAATGGCTGTGTGTGTGTGAGGACTCATTTGTCCTGAGGAAAGCCAGGCTGAAGAATGCTTTAACCTGTGACCCCACAGGGCAGAGTATCTCTAATGCTCACCCCCACTGTAGAAAAACATGCTAACAGGTGACCATGCCGCTTGCTCTGGTCCCATCTTCTGTGAGTGACCAATCTAGAACCCAAGTCTATAGGTGGACTTTTCTTTCCCATCTGCCAATTCCCAAATAACCAACACTCAACATTAATTATAAATGCTCAGCTGATAGCTCAAGCTTATTACTAACTAGCTCTTACAACTTAAATTAACCCGTATTTCTTATGAGCTCTACCCCGTGGCTCATGGCTTGTCACCTCATTCTATACACACCCTGCTTCCTCTGTGTCTGGCTGTGACTCCACTGACTCTGCCCTTCTTCCTTCCATCATTCTCATTTTGGCTCTCCCACCTAACCTTATCCTGTTCATCTATTGGCCAGTCAGTTTCTTTATTAGCCAATGAGAGTAATACATATTTACAGTGTACAAAGATTGTTCAAAGCACAGACCCAGTTCTGGGATATTGCTCCCTCTAAATCTGTGAGAGCCAATCCTCTGTGGGTAACGAGAAAAGTCGTTTTTTCCTCTAGACACACAAGGGTTTTCTGCGCATCCATCAGCTTTAACAGGGGAAACAAACTGCAGGGTGTCTGGTTGACAAAGGTTTTGGTAAACACTGAACACAAAACCATCTGTCTGCCCATCATCATCTGGTGCCTCTTTGGGTGTCAGCAGTGAAGTTCAGTAGTAGTTGCAAAAATCATGTGGCCAGCGAAGCCAAAACTATTCCTTGGCAGGTCCTGTATTGAGAGCATCTGCTGACCCTTGTCTTACCTATGCGGTTGGTGCTCAAGGTGGTGGCCACACCTCTGGATCCTGGCAACCCTGCAGCTTTGACCGTCTCAAGAGCAGAGGCTATGTTCTCTTAGACCTGTGGCCACAGCTTCTAGCTGCTGATGCTGGGTGTATGTTCAAAGCACATGTGTGTGGCAGGTACTCACTTTGTGGCTGGAAAAGCATTTTTCTGCCTCTTAATAAAAAGAAAAGAACATCTTGTTCTACTAGGGAAGGCTGAAGCCTGGCAGAGTTTTCTCAGGCAGGGGAAGCCAAGAAAAGTGCCACTCAATGGTCTGGCACCAGTTCAGGTCCCCACTAAGGTAAGGGAGGAGAGATTGTGGGAAATGGGCTTGGGTGAGGACTGTAGTGAATTGGAAAGAGCTTTTCCTTCAAAGAAGGCTGGGCTCACATAGATCCGATCAGCTGTTGCTGAGTGGGAATGCAGGGCCATTATGGCAGGTCTAGAAAAAGAGAAGTCAGCAAAAGCAGAATTTAAGAAAGGAAAATTTGGCAAAGGCTAAGCAAAAAGGAAGGGAGAGAGGTGGCAGATGCTTGAGTATGTCTTGAGCTAGCCTGACCCTGACTCAACAGGAAGCATCCCAGGGTTACCTCCTCAGGATAGGCTGGTGACGCAGGTTTGACAGGCTGTCTTTTAGGGTGAGGGGTGCCAGGTTCAGAAAAATTGCCAGAGGTAGATTGCAGGTTGCTTTGAAACAGAGGGCACCTGTTCAGGCTCCATGGCTGAGGTCTAACCCTCATCTGTCCTGACGGGCTCCACTGTGTCCCCTGGGGTCCAGGACTGAGAATAAGTAATGGGGCTGAGGCAGTGAGGGGCTCCTTAGCTGAGCACACCCCACTGTCCCTGTCCCTCCTGACCCGAGCACACCCCACAGTCTCTCCTGATCTTAACACTCCATTGCCCCTCCTTTTCTCTGGTGTTAGTTTTGCCTCTTCGATGTGACTTAGAATTCACCGAGTTCTGAGGAAGGGGGAGAGGACCCCAAAAACAATTGTCCCACTCGTGCTTGAAAGGTCCCGGGGGGAGGGGGGGTGCGTCATGGAGTCAGGCAGAGGGGAGGAACACCCCCGTTCCAGGAACTTCAGTGTCATCGCTTTTATAAACTAAAAAAAAAATTTCCCCTCAGAGTCAGAATGCTGCCCATAAAATTTCATTGTAAGGATTTCTTTCCCCTGAGTCATTAAAGCCTCAGGAATGCAGTGTGGATGGGTCTGTTAATATCTGCTTGAGCAAGGTTGAGCTGTTACCTGGGCCTGCCTTGGGAGTGGCTAAGCACTGATAGTTTCTCCAGGGCTAATGACAGGCCTGTGTGCCTCTGCCCGCCTCTTACACTATTATCAACCTCTCCCTCTCTCCCTCCCTCCTTCCCTTTCTCCTTCCCTCCCTCCCTTCCTTCCTCTTTTCCTTCCTCCTTCCCTCTCTCCCTCCCTCCCTCATTCACTCACTCACTCACTCACTCACTCACTCACTCACTCACTCACGGAGGCCTTACTCAGTGCTAGGCCTGTACTGGGCTCTGAGCAGTGATGCAAGACTGTAAAGTCCGATCCTTGTCCATCCGGAAGACAACCAGAAGTACCTATGATATCATGTAGAGAGTAGTGAAGCATCAGTGGGTGGTCAAGGAAGGCTACAGTGAGATGGCCTGCGGGGAGGGGAGGGACAAGCCCAGTGGATATCCCGGGAGAGGGAACAATGAGGATGCCAGAAAGGGTGCAAGGAAGGGCCCAGGAGGCTCAACCAGCCTGAGAGGGCCTTGTGGGCCCCTGGACTCTGGGTGGGGTGGAAAGCCATGGCTTTGAGCAGAAGGGTGGTGGGGCTCTGGGGACTTAAGTCACTCTTTGTCCTTTGAACATAGCTTCCATGATAAATAACTGAACTACAGGGTATTTAGACAGAAACCTTACTCTGCACTGCAGGTCTGGCTGGGGACAGAGATAGGATTTCATTGCCAGAATTGAACAGCTTTGAGATGCTTGCTCCCCATAGCCAGCTTCTTCAGACAGGTTTTTTTTTTTCTTCCCTTTTTAAAGCCAGTTTATGCTTCTGGTTGCAGTGTAATAATACTGTGTGTGTTTAAATTTGTTTTTAAAGTTTATTAATTTAACATCTGGGAAAATGATACCTAATTTCCTGTTTTGTATTTGTCCATGTCTCTCGCCGGTTTACCTGTGAGAGCTGGGAGTCTGTGCCTATCAATTTGAACTTTTTCAGCGTTAGGGTTGTTAGAATACTGGAGATTATAGATGAAAATACATCTTTAAAAAGATAATCCATTATGAGGTGGGGCTTGTAACCACACACACCTGTAACCCCAGCCAGCATTTGGGAGGTGGATGCAGGAGGATCCACCCGGTCAGCCTGAGTACATGACTCTCACCCATCCCAGCTTTCTCATCCTGATTTTAATGCCTCCCCCGCAGCATTTTCTGCAAACTTCTGGATGAACGTGCTGATCAGGTGCTATCTTTGACTCTCAGCAAGAAGAATTACATTGTGTCTCATGTCCCAAGTGAACACTGGTGTTCCTTTGCCCGGCACACCAATGCAGACCCAGTGCAGTAGTATTGCAGAGGGGAGTAATTGCCTTGGGTAACTTGCTCTTCCCTGAGGGCACCTTGCTGTGGGCCAGTTCACTGTCTGCACACTGGTGAGGATTGAGGAGCTGGAGTTGAACCTCAGCTTTCAGCCCACAGAAGACCAAGAGAGCTCCATACTTAGGCTGGTTTATGTCTATTTACTTGTTTACACGTGTATTTTATCTATTCCTCGGGGATACGAGTCCTCAAGGGAAGTTGCTTTTCTCTGTCCTCCCCAGTAATTAATTAATAACCAACCAACCAATCATCACCAGAGCCTGATAAAGAAGAATGGGACTTTTGCTTGCTTTTATTTTGTATGCGCTCGCCTACATGTATATCTGTGCGTCGTGTGCTGTGGAGGCCAGAAAAAGGTGTTGGATCCGCTGGAACTAGAATTACAGGTGGTTGTGAACTGCCGCTTGTGGGTGCTGGGAATCAAGCCCAGTTCCTCTAGAGCAGCAGCCACAGCTCTAACTCCTGAGCCATCTCTCCAGCCCCTGATTTATATTTTTATTTCTCTGTTTCTAGACTTGGGGTGTGTGTGTGTGTGTGTGTGTGTGTGTGTGTGTGTGTGTGTGTGTGTGTGTGTGTGTGTAATCAAGAAAGAGAGAGAAAAAGGGAAGGGAACTATAATAGAATTATAGCATATAAGGTCTGAAAAATGTGAGGACTAAATATAGCAGATTATCTGAGCTGTCGTCTTGAATGGGTTTTAAAAACAAAATCTATTTTAATACTCAGGGCATTTTGAGGTTGACCAGTCAGAGGGCTGGTTAACCTGGCAGCTCTTAAAATGGATGTGTGTGACTTTCTCTTGTTCACCCTGGCTCTCTGTGTGAGTGGCTATTTTAAGAGCTGTGATTGGCCACAGACCCCCCAGGTCATCCATTCGTCCCCCACTTAGGACCTCTGTGAGAGCTTAGAAATCTGTCCCATCCTGTCTGTCAGACTGGGTGACTCTGGTTTGGGTAGAGCATCCTTTTCTGGTGAACCCACCCTTCGTGCCCAGAACAGCTTCTCTTCTGGATCTGTCCTGGCCTACTCCACTAACTCACAAACTTGTTATGTGGAGCTGGGCGTGGCCTAGACATGGTGAACTCTGTTCGAGGTGTGTGGGTTTATTCTCCAGCACAAACAGGAGGTGTCTTGGCAATGCTGAGGATTCGTGTCTATCCTGCTGTGACCCACCTAACATGTCCTGACACTGTTTCTATAGAGATTGTGGATGGGAATGTGAAGATGACCCTGGGCATGATCTGGACCATCATCCTTCGCTTTGCCATCCAGGACATCTCCGTGGAAGGTGGGTTTTTGCTGTGTTCAGTTCCTTCTTGAACTTTCACCTCTCCCCTTGACTGCCCCACCTAGTCTTCCTCTCTAGGCTCACCTGGGGCAGTGACCATGATTTCAAATAACTCCCCCAAAATATGTTGACCCCAAAGCGTTCCTTGCTGAACCCTTAGTGGGAAAGGATTGATCATAGGAAAGAGAGGCGGGGGCCCAGGTCCACCACTGCTCTCGCAGCACCCCCTGGTGGCCGTTTCCAGATCTGCACAGGTTGCCCTGGTGTGTGACGGTAATCGCTTTGTACTTGATTGTTTACTCCAACCATTTTTGAGCTTTGTTTCTGATGTGGCGCTCTTATCATTCCCTGTTTGTGGTTTGCTGTGTCCCTGACATATGCATACAAAAACCACCTTCTTAAACGATGAGATCGAGATAAAATGCTTTTAAATATGCATGTTTAAATTTTTCTTTTATGTGTATGGGTGTTTTTACCTGTGTGTATCTGTGTACCGTGTGTGTGCCTCATGTCCCAGAGTCCAGAAAAGGGCGTTGGATCTCCAGAAACTGGAATTACAGTTGTGAGCTTCCCAGTGTGAGTGTTGGGAACTGAACTTGAGTCCTCTGGGAGAGCAACAAGTACTTTTAACCACTGAGCCATCTCTCCAGTCCCATGAAGATTTATTTCTTTTATTGGGGGGGGGGGGTTGAAGCAGGGTTTCTCTGTGGCTTTGGAACCTGTCCTGGAACTAGCTTTTGTAGGCCAGGCTGATCTCAAACTCACAGATCTGCCTACTTCTGCCTTCCCGTGTGCTGGGATTAAAGGCGTGCGCCACCACCGCCTGGTGATTTATTTTATTTTTAATTGTGTATTTGCATGTGTGTCCATATGTGGTTGCATACAGGTGAGTGCTAGTGCCCTCAGATGCCAGAGACATTGGCTCCTGGGACTGGTGTTATAGGTTATTGTGAGCTATTCTAACATGGGCCCTAGGAACCAAACCAGGAGCCTCCGCAAGAGCACTAAGTGCTCTCAACTGCTGAGCCATCTCTCCAGCCCCAGGCCAAGTTACTTATAGATTATCTATTTACTTATTTATTTTCGAGACAGGATTTCACTGCGCACCTCCAGCTGGCTTGGAACCTGCTATGTATACTGGGCTGGCTTTGAACCCCCAGAGAAAGACCTGCATCAGCCTCCAGAGTGCTGGGATTAAAGGAGTGTGCCACTACACCTGGTTCCTTGTGATAGTTGACTGTGCTTGAAAAGTCATAATCGTTGTGGAGATGCTTTAGCATTATTTTAAAGTCCATTTTATTAGTTAAAAATGTGTGAGGTCACGCAGGTTCTTCACTGAATGCCACCACCTGCAGTTTCCAGATCTGGACACATACAGGCAGTGCAGTCTGCAGCCTTGCAGCTGGAAGTTCCTCATCCCCTCAGATACCTGGCTTACTTAAACCACAGAGAGTGACCAGGCACTGAAGCCAAATCTGTTCAGTAAATAGGAAGAAGCCTGAGTTCAGATGAACCTGGACAGGGATCCTTCCTTCCTGTTCCTCTGTGTTCCCCTGTCCAGGGGCTTCTGATCATGTAAATTTCATAGGCTTCCAGCTGTCCTTGAAGCAGCAACCAGCTGCTGACTTACTGTGCATCTCTATTACTTCTTGAATAAAAGGGAGTTGGGAAGTTACCCTGGCAAGCTGCTGCAGTCTGGTCTATTAGCCTGTAGTTGAGTGTCTTGCTTTTCTGTTTCTTTCTTTCTTTCTTTCTTTCTTTCTTTCTTTCTTTTTTTAATTTTATTTAGTTAGCATGTATACCTGCAGGGCATAAGAGGGCACCAGATCGCATCATAGATGGTTGTGAGCTACCATGTGGTTGCTGGGAATTGAACTCAGGCCCTCTGGAAGAGCAGCCAGTGCTCTCTCCAGCCCTGCATTTCTGTTTCTTAACTTTTTCAACTTTGCCAAACCAATAGACGATGGCCTGGACTTCTTTCTTCCCTATAGCAGCAGAGTTGGGATCTTGAGGCCCCATAGGGCCTCTTATGTGGAGTTTTTTCCCTCCCACTTGGTCAGCCCACTGACCCCTTCCCCTACTTCCCCTCTTCACAGAGACATCAGCTAAAGAAGGTTTGCTCCTGTGGTGTCAGAGGAAGACAGCCCCATATAAAAATGTCAACATCCAGAACTTCCACATCAGGTGAGTACTGGAGCCAGGGGCACCCACAGAGGCTGGCCAGCCTCCCCCAGGACCTCCCTGCACCCTTTGGTTGGAAGAGTCAGGGGTGGGGAGCTTCTGGGGAAGAGTGCTAGGGTGCTGTTTCTTTGAATCTGCCATCCCTCCCTGTAACATCTTGGGCCTGAGTGCTGCCTGGAACACCTTTGTTCGTGTTTATGATACTGGTAAGACCCCTTCAAAGATCATGCCAGGGAAACCTAGCCCAGGGCTCCAGACCAATGGGTCAAGGCCCTGGGCCAAGGGAAAGATGGATGTTGTAGGTTCATCTCGACTTACAGTCACTCAAAAAAGCCTGACCCTGATACCTGGGAATGTGCAGGCAGAAATCTCCCTTTCTCTCCTATCTTCTAAATCCTGCTCCAAAGGGCTGCATAATGAATGTCAGAAGTGATCTGCTTGACCTGCTCTCTCTTCCCCTCTCTCTCTGGACAGTTGGAAGGATGGCCTTGGTTTCTGTGCCTTGATCCACCGACACCGGCCTGAGTTGATTGACTACGGGAAGCTTCGGAAGGTACATGTGCTCCTCTGTTCTCACCGCCGTCTTCTCTTGCTTGGACACAAACTGGACAGGACCCCTGCTAAGAGCCCAATGCCCAGCCTGAAAGGTGTTGGCCTTCTGGGCCAGCCAGACTGAGCCCCATCTGGAAGCAAGCAGAAAAATGCCTTTTCTGTTCATTACCCAGTGTGCATATCACAGATCTCTGTGCATATACATAACCCACCAAGAAAACTACCAGATCTGAGGCCATAGTGTTTAGGTGATGGTATGCTGAGTGACCTTTCTCCTTTACATTATATCTGTCTGGTTTCAGAAGGTGACAGTACTTATTGATGATCGAAAACATCACGTGTCCTGAGACACATGTTGTTTTGTTCCAGCGTCCCTGACATCTACCTTAGCTGGTCTATTGATGTCATCTTTGTTCGGGTCATGTGTAGGCAGCCATGTTGGTGTGACTTCTTGGGAGCTTTTGGCATTTGTAGGAGACAATGTCACATCAGACTCTCTGGCTCTTACAATCTTTTTGGCCGCTCTTTCACAGGGATCCCCGAGCCTTGGGTGCAGGAGTTTAATTTTTTGAGGACCCTCCATACCTTCCTCCATGGCAGCTGCACTGTTTTATGAGGCTGACATGCTGACTGCTGGTCTGAGGAGGCACTCAGCCACAGCATTTCACATTAACTCTGTGTCTGACGTGCACTCCAGGGTGCAGGAGTCCCAGAGCCCCCAAGCCTTGCACACCGCTCCCCCCATTTAGCTCTCTGGAGAGGATAACGGAGATGGAATTATCAAAAAGTCGTGACTACTTTGAAGAACCCAATACATGGGAAAGCAGAGGGGTTCGGCTTCTATTAGTAACTGAATTTTCAGCATTAAGAGCACTCAGCCCAGTTATTGAGTTTGGATGAGGGAAACTATGTCTGCATTTGCTATCCATGGGTCTTGCCGGGACTGATGGTTCCCTGCTGCCATCATCATTTCTTAGCGCTTCTTTCCTACCCCAACTCTAGCATGAGGCCAAAGTTTCTCATCCCATTTCCCTGATATACTGAAGCTTGAGGTGGAAAAAGAGTGTTTTAAACCTCCAGCTAGTGGCCCCTGGTCTTGAGGCCAGCCTTTCTTACCCAGAACCTGGGAAGAGCTGGTGGAAAGTAGTCACCCTCCCACCCTGTGGCCTCCTAGTTGAAGATAGGCTATGACGTGTGACTCTCTGTGTGATCACATGGTCCTTTTCTCCTTTAGGATGATCCACTCACAAACCTGAATACGGCCTTTGACGTGGCAGAGAAGTTCTTGGATATCCCTAAGATGCTGGATGCCGAAGGTGAGGTCTCGTCCCACCACCCCCCAGCAGCTGAGATGGGAAGGGGGTGGGCGGGGCTGTTTACTGGCGCCTCAGCATGAAGCGCTTGGGATCACTTGCCTGCCAGGGGTTCTGTGTGGGGAGGAAGAGACACTGATCTGGTAGCATGCGAAGAGCCAGCTTCGTGGAGAAGGGAGGGTAGGCCTTCCTCCTCTGTCCTTGTCCTTGAAAGAAGCGGGGACCATGGATACCATCCCTTGGCCTCTCCTCAACGCAGATGCCCTGTGCCATTTTACAGCGTCTCAGCTCCGTGCTGAGGAGATGAAGAGAGTCTAGGGTGTGTGCTGGAGTTGGGTGGGGAGAGTGTCTAAGATTGTCCCCAGCCCTGTGCTCCTGGCAAACCCACCAGCAGCATTTTATATTTGATAGTGTTATCAGGAAGGTTGCAAACATGCCCACAAGTAAGAGATAGTTTAGTACCCACCATTCCAAAAGGATTATTGATAGTCCATCACACCTTATTTTTCTTCTTTGTCCTTTTGCTGTCTTTGTTGGACTGAATTAAATCAAATCCTAGTCACTGCTACCTACTTCCAAGTATGTGCCTTAAAAATAAGGGTATTAGCCAGGTGGTGGTGGCACACACCTTCAATCCCAGCACTCGGGAGGCAAAGGCAAGTGGATATCTGAGATCGAGGCCAGCCTGGTCTACAGAGTGAGTTCCAGGACAGCTAGGGCTACAAAGAGAAACCTATCTTAAGAAACCAGAGGATGGGAAAAAAAAAAAGATGGGTATTCTTGTATGTAATCAAAATACTTTCCACAGACAAGCTGTGTAACACATGCCTGTAACCTCAGCACTGGGGAGGCTGAGACAGGAGGAGCATGAATTTGAGGCCAACTTGGGCTACATAAGCAAGACTCTCCCAAACACACACAGACACACACACACACACACACACACCTAGCAAGCATGACAGCAGTTCCCGATAGCTCCTCTAATGCTCATAGCCAGAGTCCCCTAGTTTAAAATTGCCATTGAGAGTGGGTTGGCTTTAGTCAGTGGGTTGTCGGCATTCGTGCATGTGTTGGGTTAGTGAGTTCTGTGTGTCATTTCCATCTTCAGCCCTTCCCTCGTTCCTTCAACTCTTCTAATTGGCCTTGTGGTTGGAGGACAGCTACTTTGCTTGCCTCCTGGGGTATCTATCACCTTACCCTTTCCTGTGTCCTATGTTCCCCTTAGTGGAAGTTGACTCTGGAGGCTGACTAGTTCAGGATGGGCCTTTTGGTAAGGCTACCTCACAGTCTCCAGGCTTCTGCCTCTCCTTGTGAGGTGCGCTGTGTGTTCAGTAGGTAGCTTTAACAGCAGCTCTTTCTCTCCCTATAGACATCGTCGGAACTGCCCGGCCGGATGAGAAAGCCATTATGACTTACGTGTCTAGTTTCTACCATGCCTTCTCTGGAGCCCAGAAGGTACCTGGGAGCCCTACTCCTCCTATGCCCAACACACCTCATGCCAGATCCCAGCCACACCCTCCTGCCCTTCCCTCCTTCTGTCCCTCCATGTCCCAGTGCAGGAGTCCGGAAGGCCTGGCTCAGGTCTCATGGATAGTTAACTATATTCAGAACGGGTCTTGTTTGTCTTGTTTCTCAGCTGGCTCTGCTGTCTCTCACCATGTCTTGGGACCAAGATCATTTAGAAAGCACAAATCCTCTGGAAGCAGCTGTTTGGCCCAGGCAGAAGGGCTGGGCATGGGAGATAGTGGATCCTGGCTGCAAGCGACAGTTAGCTACAGTCCCTTCTCTGTGGGAGCTACAGGCTTGACAGTGCCGTGGTCTCCATGGAGCTGTGGTACACTTCCTGTCTTCATTTGCCCATTTTGCAAAGGTGTCACAACACCTCCACCTTGTACTCTCAGGCAGGATTTAACAAGTCTGTCTTCAGCCTTTGAGCACTGTCCTGCCTGGGACCCCCCAGTGGACACTGCACACTGTGTTCTTAGACACAAGCATGACCTGTGGGAGGAGAGGCGAGGACATCAGTGGCAGCGAGCCCCTTCTGGTATCCTGGCCCAGATTGCTCTGGGAGGCAGAGGGTAAAGCCAGGTTGAATGTTCTATAATACACCAGGGCCCAGTTCATACCTCGGGGACTGGAAGGCTGGTGAGTTGTCGCTCACTGCCAGGCTTCGCTGGGGCAACAGATGTCCCTCCCAGAAGCAGCACATGGCTGTGACCACAGAAACCTTCATGGCTTTGGGCCTTAGGCCCGCCATGTGTTCCTCATGGCCTCTGAGTGACCTATTGGAAATGCATGGTAGAAGCTCTGCCCCCACCCTCCCTCCCTTGCTCATTTCCCTCTCTGCTCTTGTCCCTTTGGCTCTCTCCTCTCCTCCTGCCCATCCCTTCTGTCTCGTGCTCTCTGTCCACTGCTGCTGTTTGGGTTTGCTCTGTCTTTCTCCTCTCAACCTCTTCTCCTTCTCTGTGCAGATGTGTAGGCACGCTAAGGCCGGAGGGAAGGCCATGTGACCTAATGTTTCATGTCACTGCCACGCCTTCTCAGTGCGCAGAAGGTGAGCTCGCCCTTGGCCTCGCCCACTCTCCCTGCCACCCTTTGGCCCATCTTGTCCTTCTCGCTGGACACCAGCAGCACTCCCTGAATGAGAGAGGTTTAGTTACAGCACCCATCTCCACGGGGGACAGGACACTCTCGGAACCCTGGCAAGCACACTTGCAAATGCCAGAGGAGCCCAGCCTCTAGGTGGCCTTCCTTTGTCTCTGTGAACACTGGGCATAGTGGACCCCACAGAGGGGAAGGCAGCCAAGCAGTCAGAGCCTGGATCCCAAGCCATTCCCTTAAATACCCAGAATCCCTTTCGCCTCTGACCTTCCCTTCTTCCTGCCTGAGCAAGCCATCTTCTCAAATCCAGGCAGGAACCAGGGCTGGGAGAAGTCTGCCTTCTCCCTGATGTCCAGGCCAGAGTCCTGCATGCCATTGCCAGCCAGGCCTTTCATGGATAGCTGTAATGCCACTGTGTGCCATAGACTGTGGAGATTTGATCATTAGTTACTAAAATTACCCTGCAGATAGCAGCAATGCTATCTTTTTCTTTTCTGTCTTCTCTGCCTCTCTTTTTTGTTTTTTTGTGGTGGTGCTGGGGGTTGAACCCAGGGCTTGCCAGGTAAGCATTTTACTGCTGAGCTTCATGTCCGGCAGTAAAAATGTCTTCTAACCAAATCAGTATGAGTTTTTTTTTTTAATAGAAATAACTCCAGAAAAAGGCACCTTCTAAAAAATTGCCCAAAGACAACCAGATGGGCTGGCAGCAACCCTGGTACCTACTAAATGGGTGCCCCAGACCTGCGTTTCTCAGTGGTGGTCAGCCTCTAACTTCCCAGCCCCTCCTGCTGGCCTCCTGACTCCTCATCATCTGCCCCCCAGCCCCCACCTCAGATGCTTTCCTGCCAACCTCTCCTGAATCCTGTCCCCTACCTCTTAGCCAGGGTATGGCAGCCTCTCTGCTTACCTTGGTTGGACATTTGTTCTCCGCCTACTAGCCACATAGAGTACACTGGCCAGGCTGATTGAGGTGGCCTCTCCCCTCTGTCCAACTGCCCTGTTCCTCTTTTTCATGCCCTTGGCCTTTAGTTGTGCTGCCCTGGGCTTCATGCCTGCTGACACTGACCTTGCCTGTCTTTGATTCCTACTTTGTGGCCTGGCTGATGATAATGCTTGGTGTGTGTGTGTGTGTGTGTGGGTGTGTGTGTGTGTGTACACTCAAGCATGTGCATGCACACATACATGGAAGAGATGTGATGTGGTGTATGTACCCTGTATGTGGTGGGGAGAGTATGGGATTTGTGTGGCTCTCCCTCTAAAATCCTCCCTCCCCTGTGCTCTCTTCCCTTTTTCTCATTCTCATCCCCGTTGCAACCATTTCATGCTTTTGTCCATATCTCAGGATAGGAGCATAGACAGCGTGGTGGGGGATTAGGTGTCCTGATTGATCCAGAGCTGTTCCCAGCCACTTACACAGCATCTGCCTAGAGTGATCAGTCCCAGAAGGATGTGTACCTCTGGTTTGGGATGTGGGGGGAGGGGGGGAGATGAGTCTCTGTGCATCTCACACTCTTGTCTTAACTGCCTCTGTGGCTGGTACCCAAGATAAACATCTTCCAGAGCTGAGCTATATCCATGGCCCACCCTCCTCTCCACACCTTTCTCTGGACAGCCACGAATAATAGAAGTGGAAAGGTCCCCGTTAATAGACATGTGCGAGTGCCTGTGTACATTTACATGCAAGCATATGATGGACACAGCTGTTGAGGGACTGTCCTCATTGAGTGAGGACCAATTTCTGTTTGGCAGGCTGGTTTGGATTCTGATTCCTTGCTTTCCTTCCCCTACCCGGGTTTAGAATAGATGGAGAGCGTCGAGGCTTTTGTTTATGCAGCTGGCACTTTGGAGGTCTCTTGGAAGCTATTTCTAGGAGTTGGCCCCCCGAAGGGGCAAACTGAATCTGATGCTGGTGTTTCTGGATGTTTAGGAACAGGTGGAGCTGTCTGCATCCATCCACCTGTCCATCAATCATCGGTCCAATAGTGTAAACCTTCTAAGGGAGAAAATGGATTCCCATCCACAGAAGCTGTGTACCTGTCTGGAAAGGCGTGATGACAAGCAGGCAGCAGACAGCAGGGCTTGCTCTGCTGCATCTCTGTCCAGAGGAGACAACTGTGGAGTTGCAGGCTGCCTTCTTTGAGCAGTAGCTTGGAGCTTGGATATCTAGGGTGGGTTTAGGGTATCCCCAGGAGAGGCTCAGATAACACTAGGGAAGGGTGACGAGGCTGTCACTAAGGAGTTACTATTAACAGTGGTGACAAGGACATCATGGATGAGGCAGAAGCTTTGAGGTGTGAGAGGAGAGGAAGTCAGCATTGCCAGGTCACTATGGAATGGGGAGTTCTGGGTAAATCGAGGCACAGGTGGAAGGACAGATATATATGCCCAAACCCATTCCAGCCTGCTCATCTTGGGGAAGCTTCATTCTGGGGCTAGAAGCCATGATCTGCTGGGCTTAGCAAGCCTGGCTTGGGGGAAGTCACTGGGAGGATGCAAGGGCAATTCTAGCTAGATCAGGGAATTTTTACTAAAACCATCAACAATGAGATCTTTGTAGCAATCATATAAACAGTGGGTTGTGGGTGGTGGAGCCCTGGTATGTCACTCTGCCTAGTGTGGGCATTTGATAACACCTCAATTGATGACAGTCTCTCTGTAGGTAGACCTGTCTCCGATGACTTGGTGCTCTGATTATCAGGTTGGAAGTTGGCAGGAGATAGCTAAATCTCTAAGAATAACAGCTCATTTTAAATAAATGTATAAAAACATATGGTCTGGTGTGGTGATGCATGCCTTTAATCCCAGCATTAGGAGGCAGAGAGGTAGGTGGAGCTCTTGAGTTTAAAGACAACCTGGTCTACATAGCAAACTCCAGGACACTAGCGCTACATAGGGAAACCATGTGTAAAAAACAAAAAATTGTTGTATGTTAAGTTTGTACTAACAGTGCAGTTGAAAGTGGTCACAAAGAAGGTGAGAATGCATGTTTGGCCCCTTTCTCTGGAGTGTATTCTCGGCCCATTGGTGCCTATGTTCACTTGCTTTATCTCTTGCAGTCTGTCATTCAGAAAGACGTGAACAGCCTGCTTCTTGCATGGGTTTTAGAACAGCCCCTCCCATCGTAGAAAACAAAGCTGGAACCCAACCTGGCTTTTCTTCTGGGTGGCTTCCATCTCTGTCTTTTTTTTCCCCGCTGTCTGCTCCAGGTCCCTCCTCGGTGCTTCTGAACTCCAGCAGCCTTGGGAGCATTGCTTATGCACTGTGCTGCTATTTATTGCTTTTCCTCTCTATTCCCACTCTGCCATGGGCTTCTTGTAGCTCTGGGGAGGGGAAGGCCAGAAGCCAGGTGCTTAGGTTGGCTAACTCGGGACTTCTCTAACCATCTGTGGTGTGATTCCCCTCACTCCATGGGTGGGGTCTGCAAGGCCAGCCAAGCTGGCTTTTCTCACCTCTGGCTGAGGTTGGTAGTGACTGGCTCATCTTCATGGTGGGAGGGGGCACTTGAGAGCATGTGTCCCCTGTGCCCCTGGCAGGCTTATTCAGGGTTACAGCCTGTGGGAAGAAGTGGGGCAAGTTCTGTTTTCCAAGAACCTGCTTCTCAAAGGTCAGAGGGCTTTTGCCCCTCAGGGTGACCCACAAGTGTTCACAGGAGGTTCCTTTTTAAAGAAAGCACTCTTGTATTCTGTGGGTCTGTTTTCTTCAAAGGCAGGCCCTTTGGGCATGCTGGTGGAGCCCCCCAGCTCTCTCCTGAGGCTAGCCTGAAAAGGTCAGGTGTTAGATAGATCCTTGCAAAAAGCCCTTAGGAGTCCCATGTAGAAGTCTTCCCCAGATTTCATCCAAAGGACTCTTCTTTGGCTGTGGAACCATCTGCAGGCTGTGGCAGTTGTACGAAATCATATCCCACCCAGACTACCAACTGGACAAACAAATATATATATATATATATATCTGTTGAGCCCAGGATTTCAGGATGCTTCTGGAGGACAGCAAGCTGAAGTTGGGATTCATTTACATCAAAAATGATAGCAGCAAGCTAACATGGTGGTGCACACTTATAAACCCAGTACTCTGGGGTCTGAGGCAGGAGATTTGTTAAGTTCCTGGCCAGCTTGCAGCTGTTGTTTATCTACAATGAGGAACTGTCCCTGACTCATTAGTGGCAATGTCTGCAGCTGCATCACCTCCGGGTTGTCTGTGGTACTCTGCCTTGACTTTGGTGGAAGTGGTTTTGGTAGCACTGGGCAGGTGATCATCACCCCAGCCAGCTTCATGGAACATATCGACTTGGTGCTCATTAGTTTGCATTCCTTCTGGGCCCTGCCTCTTAGGGATAGGTTCCGGGGAAGCCACTCATTTCTTCAGCGCCTCAAGGAATTGACCACGGTTACTCCATAGTTCTCAAGAAGATGATAATCAAACAGAGCAGCTGTATGAGAAGAGGCAATGTCATCTCCAGTACAGAGAGGATGACTGAGAGCTGGGACCCAGAGTCCCTATGCAGGGGCTTCTTAAGTCCCACTCTGGTCATTCCCATGCTCTCTTCCTGGAGTTCTAGCTGTTCAGTACTCACACTGTAGGATACAGTCTCTTGACTATTCACTTGAGAGACCTTTAGGACAGTTTTGTTCTGTCCCATCCCCTATGCGTCTCAGCACACTCACCCACAAGGCATGTGATTTGGTTGGCATTTCCTCTTGGGAAAACTCTTCTTGGAAAAAAACACATATATCATAGTCATTCCTTCCTTCTCAAGAGTTCTTTACACTCAGTCTCATTTTGTGGTAACAGAAAACTCCTTTTGTTCATCAACCAGATTTAGGTTTTGCCTTCCTCTTTCTTAAACCAGGTGTCCTTTTTCATCTGTAGGTCCCCTGTCTCCATCTCTACCTTAAACTGTCTCCTTTCTACCTACCCTGTGGTCCCAAAGAGCTCCAACTTCACAACCACTCCAGTGGGCCAAGGTATGGTGGTGAACACCTTTATACCCAGCACTTGGGAGGCAGAGGTGGCCAGATCTCTATGAGTTCAAGACCAGCCTGGTCAACAAGTGTGAGTTTCAGGACAGCCAGGCTACATAGTGAGATCCTAACAACAAAATTGCCAAAGTGAAGTGTGTTTGGGAACACAGGTCCCTGCTGATGTCGGATACACAGTACCCTTACCAACCCTAGTGGCTGGGTGTCTGGGGTGATAGGCCTTGTGGCTGGGTACCATTCCATCCCTCTTTATTCTGCTTGCTGCCGAGGACTATCGGGTCTATCCTGGCCCAGTGCTTGGTGCACAGTGTGATCTTAGCTAAGCCATCAGCACCTGTGCTGGGTTTCCTGACTTCCTACCCGTGCTAGGTGGGTCTTTATGTCTTGTCTTCCATGCACTGCTATGTCTTTAGCTCTTCTCTAAAGGACTTTGAACTAGGAGCCTTCAGAGATTCTTGAGGAAAGCTAAGAGGCCTCCCTGTTAACCAGTGCCTTCTCCCACTTTCAGACTTGAAATCTCTTCAAAATCCTGTCAAGTCCAGTTTGAGGTCCCAAGTCTTGTGGCCCCTGGAATTCCAGGATGGGCATGAATTCCTTCCTTTCTCCACCTGGCTTGAGATTTTTGAACACCTCAGTTACTTGGTTTATTTCTTCCCAGCATGCATGATGAGATTCAACCCTTGTCCAGAGCTGGCAAAGAGGAGGATGCAGAAGGCTGGGGAGTGTGACTCAGAGCCTCAGGGGCTCCTTTCCAACCACATGGAGTAACAGGGTAGAAGGGGCTTTGTTGACACAGGTGTGTCCAGGGGCCCCCGTTGCTGGGGCAGACTGGTCATGACTTTTCTATTTTGTTGCCAGGCGGAAACAGCAGCCAATCGCATCTGCAAAGTTTTGGCCGTCAACCAAGAGAATGAGCAGCTTATGGAAGACTATGAGAAGCTGGCCAGTGATGTGGGTACCCAGCAAGGCCCTGCATTACACCCTGAGAGAAGGAAGCTCCCAGGATCTGTACCTGCAGAGTCATTCTGTAGACACAGTCCCAGGCTGGTGCACAGTTAACACGGGGCAGCTTGGTTCCGGGCCTCTGGGAGAGCAGAAGTAAAGATAGAGGAGGTGGTGTCTGGGTAACCATGAGCCTGGGAAAATGCCTCCACCTCTCTGGCTCTTGGTTTTTCTTTCCCTTACTGAGTGGGAGTTGAGCCTTGGGATCTCTGAGGCATTTGCAGCCTGGTGTACTGCCGCTCTGTAAGTTTTGCCTGAACTAGATAGCGCAGGACAATATCAGGTTCTGTGTAGACATGGGCCTGAGAGGACTCAGTACTGGCTCAGGCTGGCTTAACAGTCAGGCCATCAGGGGACTGGATGACAAGAAGTTAACCAGCTGCCCTGCTGTCATTTGAATTAAGGCGCTGCTGTTTCTTCCCTAAAAGAAATTCAGCCTTTTGAACTGTTCCCCTGGCCTTTTGGTGGCCCTGCCTTCCAATTTAGTGAGAGCCAGATGCCCAGGCTTTAATCCCTGCTTCACCATTCCAGCCAATCACCACAGCTAGCTGCGTGACCTGGCAGAGCCGAGCCTGCGGTGCCTCCTCCATAGTGTGGGGGTGATAATAGCACTTGACCATGTAGTGTTTCTATGATTATGTTTGTGAGTCACTCCGTGGGTCATGCCTGGCAATGTGCAGGTGTCCGTATGCTTCCTGTCATCCGTCTCTTTGCAGTCTTACATCTTCTTCAAAATCCTCAGCATGGCTCCAGGATAGATATCCAAGCTGTCCCAGGTTCTAGCCTCTTCCTTTTGAGGCCAGAGAGCTCTGTTTTATTACACCCCTGTTTGGTGTGTAGATTAAGAAACTGAGGCCCGGCTAGACTTGAGCTCAGGTCTCCTTGCTTTTAGAGCAGTCTGTGTGGTTCTTTGGTTCGTCCCTGCTGGGGTAGAGAAGATGAGGGGTGTGGGCTCTGAGTTGACCATATCCTGGTCATCTTGGAGGGAGCACCTGGAAACCTTGCTACGTGGCATGGTGAGGCCCCAATGAGTAGTTGGGAAGAGGAAGTATGCTATCAGGAGAGACTTTTTTTGCCTGCCCTCTTCCTTGAGGGAAGAGTCTGTGGAAAAAGGGCAAGCTGGCCGTTACACACACCTTCCAGCATCCTTACTCCACGCCTTTGCCTCTGTCCTTTCCCTTTAGCTGTTGGAGTGGATCCGCCGCACCATCCCGTGGCTGGAGAACCGGGCGCCTGAGAACACCATGCAGGCCATGCAGCAAAAGCTGGAGGACTTCAGAGACTACCGGCGCCTGCACAAGCCGCCTAAGGTGCAGGAGAAGTGCCAGCTGGAGATCAACTTCAACACGCTGCAGACCAAGCTACGGCTCAGCAACCGACCCGCCTTCATGCCTTCCGAGGGCAGGATGGTCTCGGTGAGTGCCAGGGGCAAGTCCGGGGCCTGCCTGGTCACCTCCATCCCCCAGATGCTTGGCGGGTAGGTTTTCTTCACCTAGGCTTGAGCCCAGGCACAGAGGGATAGCCACCTTCTCCTCTGTTCCGGGTCAGGCTTGCTCACCTGAGCATTCCAAACTTCCCCCACCCCTTAAAAAATAATGTTTTAAACAGAATGTCTGGTCATACTGAACCAAGCAATAGTGTTAATTTTTACTTTAATATATCCTGAAGTACTTTCAACATAAAATGACAACAGCAAAAACAAAGCAAAACAGACCCATTTTTGTTATCTTAAATAACAAATTAATTTTTGTAGTCTACTTTAATATACAAACAAGTAAAATATTAAAAAGTAGAAGTTACTTATAATCTTACTACCTATTATCAATTTTGTTTTAATTAGAAAAGTTCCTTTTATTCTTTTATTTGTTTTTTGTGACCCTGAGCATTGAATCCAGGTTCTCCAGGATGTTAGGCAGGTACTGCTCTGATTCAGGACCGTATCCCTAGCCCCTTTTTTATTTTTTTTCTGTGAGATAACTCATCCTGGCTGTCAACTCACATAGGACTCAACCATGAAGACCTGAACTTGAGATTCTGCCTTGACATTCTAAATAGCTAGGATTACAGGCCTATGCTGCCAAGTCCAGTTTTTAATTTTTCTGTATAAATATCATCTTAAGTGACTCTTAAAGTGTGTTTTATAAAATAAGATTCTTTCAACGGGCGTTGTTGGCTCACACCTTTAATCCCAGCACTTGGGAGGCAGAGGCAGGGGGATTTCTTTGAGTTCGAGGTCAGCGTGGTCTCCAGAGTGAGTGCCAGGATAGGCTCCAAAGCTACACAGAGAAACCCTGTCTTAAAAAAAAACAAAAAACAAACAAACAAAAAAAAAAAGATTCTTTCAAACAGGAACATCTATAACAAGTTGGGTGTGAATGAAGTCTATAATCCCAACTCTTGGGAGACTGAGGCAGGAGGATCACAGCAAGAATAGCTAGGCCCTATCTAGAAAATAAAGACAAAGCCCTAATATTACAATTTTCTGTGTCATGGGTGCTCTTCCATTATGTCCCCCTTTGTCCAAATTCATGCTCCTTTATGGGCTAGGGGAATTCAGGACAAATTCATCAAGGCCGAACCTTTTATCCTTTCAAACAAAGAGTAACAACAAAAAAACAAAAACAAAAACAAACAAACAACAACAACAACAAAAAAAAAAAACAGGCGAATTGGGCTGGACCAGAAAAGACAGGCCAAGTGGGAAGAAGCAGGGACAAGGTGATCTTTTTTTTTTTTTTTTTTGGTTTTTCGAGATAGGGTTTCTCTGTGGCTTTGGTTGGAGGCTGTCCTGGAACTAGCTCTTGTAGACCAGGCTGGTCTCGAACTCACAGAGATCCGCCTGCCTCTGCCTCCCGAGGGCTGGGATTAAAGGGCATGCACCACCAACGCCCGGCTGACAAGGTGATCTTGAAGGGAGAAAATAGGCCTGTGGTGTTATGCAAGCAGTTTGGAGCACCAGTTCTTCAAAGTTCAGGGCTTGGGTTGTTAGAGTCACTATTAGCTAACAAATACTCTTGAGAACTAAAGGAAGTGCCCTGGTGTGGGGCAGATGCCCAGTGCATGACCAAGATGGCCCTCTCACTGGTTCTTTTCTAGCTGTTTCAGCTGGGTGCCTTGTGCTAACTGTAGGGTGCCTGGCACTGACTGTAGGGTGCCTTGCGCTAACTGTAGGGTGCCTTGTACAAAGGGCATATGTATTTCTTTCTTCTCATGATCATGGCTGATTCCCTCATCCAAGCTACTATCCAGAGCCCAAAGGCTAAAATCTGGGAATCTTGGCCTAACAGGACTGTGTGCACCTGGGAGGCTGTACTGTCAGCTTGCTTCATTCGTAATTGATTTGGTCCCATGACTTGTTCTTGGACCTCTGTGACTGGCCAGGATTCGTTTAGAAGCTAGTCAGTGAACAGGAGGGCTCCACAGCTGGATGTGGACTCCGACTCCACTCCCCATCCAAGAGGCAGGGTGATAAGAATAGGGGCTGGAAGAGTGAGAGGGGATGTTTGACTGTGGTGTGTATGGGGTATAAGATCAGAAGCATATCTGCTTGGAAGGCTGCAACCCCTCCAGGCTCTCTGAGCCCGTGTCTCCCATCTCTGCAGGATATCAACAATGCCTGGGGTTGCCTGGAGCAAGCAGAGAAGGGCTATGAGGAGTGGCTGCTGAATGAGATCCGGAGGCTAGAGAGGCTGGACCACCTGGCAGAGAAGTTCCGGCAAAAGGCCTCCATCCATGAGGCCTGGACGGATGGTGAGCCAGCTCCTGCCTCCCCACGCTCTGCTTTCCAAATTCCACCCAGCCACCAGCCCCAAACCCTCTCTTTTGCTTTTGTTTGTGTCATCTTGTTTAATAGTTCTCTGGCATCAGACAAGTTTGTTAACTTCTGGGTTGCTTCAGTTTCCATGTCTGCAACTAGGAGCAGTAATACTGTTAGACCTCCGGAAAACTCAGGCCTCCGGGGTCCCAGCCCAGAACCCCAGTCACCCCAATCACCAGGCGGATTTGAAAACTTGCTGCAAACTGCATGAGGCTTTATTGTTGTTTAACAAGCTAACCCCATGTTAGCTCAGGTCTTTCAC